GTTATGTCTTGTGTACCCATATTTGAGTTATGTCTTGTGTACCCATATTTAAGTTATGTCTTGTGTACCCATATGTGAGTTATGTCTTGTGTACCCTGTATGTGAGTTATGTATCGTGTACCCATATTTAGTTGTCTTGTGTACCCATATTTGAGTTATGTCTTGTGTACCCATATTTAAGTTATGTCTTGTGTACCCATATGTGAGTTGTGTACCAATATTTGAGTTTTCTTGTGTACCTATACTAGTACATGTATGTGAGTTACCATCGATAAACACTACAACATACATTCAGAACAAGCGAGTGAATTTCAAGCCAGGTCATATATTATATCTTGTGTACCAATATAGAGCTTACTTGATATTACAATAACTAGTTTACAATGTCTGCATTACAGATGAGTGGTGGCCTTAGAAGTAGTTTATTAGCTGACGGTATGACCAGAGCACCAGTGGTTCGTTTACCCAGTGCACAGCTAGCAAGGTATGTGTCTCTTATCACTGTATGCATGCTAGTCATCCTATTTGCAGAACAGATTGAGACATTACAAATCTTTTCAGAAAGTTTAAAAGTCGGGGAAATTCAGGATGGCGCAAGTTTGTTTTTGAGTGTGGGGAGCAATTCAGGAAGATGTTTTCTGTTCATCATCCAACAATAGTCATATTAAATTGTTTTTACAGTGAAGTGAAAAAATGGCTAGAAGACCATGATAACTTTGAACTTGTTGGAGAGAGTTTCAACTCCACCAGTAGATTTGCCCGTCTTCAAAGGCTGCAGATTGCTGTTGCTGGTAGATTAGTTTATATTCGTTTCCAAGCTATAACTGGTGATGCCATGGGTATGAATATGGTTTCAAAGGTAAGATTGTAGTAGCTGATAAACTGCTTTATATTCATTTCAAAATGTTCAAAATATATATAGTACAGACATGCTGTAAAAGTGGTTAGTGTATGTTCACAATGTAGTGTATTACACATACTTACATGGTGTGTTATAATAAAATGCAAACTTGGTTTGGGTTATACATATATTATGTCCTATGATGTCTTACATGCATGTATTATGTTTTACAGGCAGTTGAGAAGTCTTTACTTTTATTAAAAGATCATTTTCCAGAGTTGGAGGTTCTCAGTTTAAGTGGCAACTATTGTACGGATAAAAAATCAGCAGCTATGAATTGGATAGAAGGGCGTGGCAAGTCTGTTGTGTGTGAGGCAACTATTCCCGCTCATGTTGTTGAAAAGGTCAGTATGTGACAGGTTTAGTAATCCACAGACTTTGAATTATAATTTGTTTTGTACCTTTGATCTCTAGGCTTGATTGTTTTATTACTTCAGTATTTATAAATTACTGATGCTTTCTTTTGTTCTACAGGTTCTTAAAACGTCAGCTAATGCCTTGGTTGATCTGAATATTAGTAAAAATTTAGTTGGTTCTTCTATGGCTGGAAGTATTGGAGGATTCAATGCACATGCAGCGAATATTGTCGCAGCTATTTACATTGCCACTGGACAGGTAAGTTAAAGTAATTTAGTTGTATACTTTTTGCAAACTAGTTTCTGTCATGAAGTTTGCAACCTCTCCTTTTGTAAATTATAATCATAACTAACCTGTAATTAAGACTATAAATTGATTTGCTTTCAGGATGCTGCACAAGTTATTTCAAGTTCTAGTTGTATAACATTAATGGAGACCACAGGCCCAATGCAAAATGATTTATATATAACCTGTACAATGCCATCAGTGGAGGTCGGTACTGTCGGTGGCGGTACAATTCTCCAACCTCAGTCTGCTTGTCTAGATGTAAGTTATTATCAAAATTCTAGAAAGTGCCTGGATTTACCTACTTTTGTAGGTTAGGGTTACTAC